GCGCATGCTGAAAGTAAACAACGCTGATTATGTTGATTACGTTCTGGGGTACTCTCCAAAATGACGGAAGACGGTTCCTCTGGGGAGAAGAATTGTTGAATAAATGATGTTATTATTGTTTTCTGCGCGCACAAAAATTATTCTCGTAGCTTCGTAAAATTATGGTTGAACCACTGATGTCACAATGACTTTTAACAATGTCCTTGGTACGTTTCTGAGCCTTGATCGTGGTTGTATCCTTGCTGTCTATGCAGGGTCAGAAAGCTCTCGGATTTCATCAAAAATATCTTAATTTGTGTTCCGAAGATGAACGTAGGTCTTACGGGTTTGGGACGACATGAGGGTGAATAATTTTCATAGAATTATAGAAAATAGAACTAGAACTAGAACATAGAACTAACCCTTTAAACCAGTGTTTCCCAACATTTTTCTGCCACGGCACAGCTTTGATAAGTAAAAAAATCCCACAGCACACCACTAAGCAAAAAAAAAATATATATATATTATAATAATATATATTATTACTTTTTCCCCCAATAATTAAACAATGCGTCGTCAGAGCTGGTATTTTTGCTATTTTGGCTTTTTATATGATCAGACACTTGAACTTAACATTTTCTGAAAATCAGGCTCAAATGGTGTTAACAAGGTTTTTGACGAGCGACAGAGGAATATTTTGTCTGTCATCAGAACGGCAGCATTTGAGACAGTAAATTAATCGCATTATGTTTTTATCAATTTATAGAGTTTATTGTAGCTATATGGGCACTCAGTTTTTCTTGTTGTTTAACACTTCTGGCCAAAATATCATGATCTAAAAGATGAACCACTATGCACAGGATATTTAAAACGTACACAAGTGTACTGGCTACAGCTAGACGCCAAATGCTAAGACTCTTCTCCACTCTTCATTACAAAACATTAGCCTTTATGGACAGTGTTACTTGAGTAAAGAAAACGCTGCTCTTTTTCGAACAGCAGTTCTTTATTTACCCTTGTATTGCGAAGAAGTGGACGTCTGTCTTCAAACTGCGCATCGTGGCACTTCATTCTGAATGGAGGCGGGGTGTTGAGTTATGAAGTTTGACTGACAATTTGAGGATCCAATGGCGTTACAAGGTTTGGTCACATGCTCTTTTGAATGCTTTTCATTGGTTAAATATTTGTAAAAACCCACAAACAGACATAACGATGACCAACAGAACTGATTTAAAATAATAAGGAAATATAGGCTAATTGAGATAGGAAGTTTTTGATAATTTTCCACAGCACACCAGACAACCACAGTGGTTGGGAAACATTGCTTTAAACTGTACTCTGTGCTGCATTATCGTCTTAATTTGTCTCTACTCTCATCCCAGGACCAAAATAAAACTGGAGGGTGAAATGATTTTGTTCTGTCTCCATAGGTGCAGTGAAATTCATTGGCGCTATCGGCTGATCACCAATTTAGACTGTAGGCCTTATAGATCTGCTGGCTTGTTCACTGAACTTAATACTGTGTATACACTGTAGAACATTTATACACAATGCAATAAGCATGTGTCAGTTATAGTATAAACACTCTTACAATGCCTAATCTGTTTTGTTTGTTCATTGTTTTGTTCACATGGCATACAGATTTTTGACTAACCTATACTGATACTATACCGAGGTGTAGGTGTTTCAGTGTTTATACACTGTAAAAAAAAATAAACTCCTGTTGTTTTTATAGAAAGAAATTGCAGCTGTGGTTAAATATAGTAAAATGTTAACACATACTGTATTTGCAGAAAAGCCAGTACATTTTACAGTTTAAAACTGTAATAAAAAAACTACTGCTATTAAAATCTGTTTTGTACCTTTAACATAAAATTACTGCTGCATTTTCTGTAAAATAATGCAATAAACAACAAAATAAGCCATAGAATAAAACCCTATTATGCATAACTGCTAACAAAAACTATTAAGAAAAACGTATGAGAAAATTATGTAAATTGAAGCAAAAGTCATAGTTAATAGTGAGCATTGGACCCGAATCTAAAGTGTGACCAGAATAATTTATGTAGTTATTTGAAATAATTAAAATAACTGTTTCATGTTTATCCTTGTATCATTAACTTGTCGAGGTTGATATAGGATTTAGAAAGTAATTAGTACTAAGTAATTAAATACTTTTTGGAGAGAGTAATTTGTACACTAATCTAATTACACTGTTGAAGATGTAATTAGTGTAATAAAAAAACTACTGCTATTAAAATCTGTTTTGTACCTTTAACATAAAATTACTGCTGCATTTTCTGTAAAATAATGCAATAAACAACAAAATAAGCCATAGAATAAAACCCTATTATGCATAACTGCTAACAAAAACTATTAAGAAAAACGTATGAGAAAATTATGTAAATGATATACCATCAAATGTGAAGTTTCACCCAGGGAAGAATGTCATGTTACATTTTTTTTTTTTTTATTTGAAATAATTAAAATAACTGTTTCATGTTTATCCTTGTATCATTAACTTGTCGAGGTTGATATAGGATTTAGAAAGTAATTAGTACTAAGTAATTAAATACTTTTTGGAGAGAGTAATTTGTACACTAATCTAATTACACTGTTGAAGATGTAATTAGTAGTAATTACTTTTTTAGAGTAATTGCACTGATTGCAGTCTTAGATCTTAACGTTTATGCAGGCTTATAGACCAAACTACCATTCCCCCACTCGCCACTCAGAGTTCAAACAATTATAAGTCTGTTTCAAGCATTTTTGGCAGATTTCACAGGATTTCCTTTTGGACTGCATGTCAGAAGCTTAGAGTCCAACTGCCAGCCGATCTTTTAAATATCCATGGATATTTAAAAATGAGTTTCCTTCACTGTGAACTCTACATTACATTTTCTTCTAGCTTCTAGGCAGGTGCTATCTTTAAAAGCAACTTCAAAAATAAAATATGCATCCGAATTTTTGATCAAAGAATTGCGTCTCCTACAGTGTGTGGAGCTGTATTTCCAGTGAGCATTTGTACCTAAGTTTGAGAGGTCATTTCAACATTGGAGAGTGAGAACAGCAGCACTGCCACATATAGATAGGTGGGTGCCCTATATATAGCTTATATATACTATAAATAATTAGATGACTGTTTCCTTTTAATTCCAGAAATGGTACATTTAACTTACATTATATGTAAGGCTGGATCTATTACGGTTTTCCCCCATATACAGTAAGGGAGCTCACTGTTAACCAATTACCAGGTTTTACTGTAGTATTTTTACAGTGTTTAACAGTTTTCTACTCATTGTACAGTGCACTTAGTTTAAAACCTATTCAAATGTGCAGGCTTACAGTATACAGAGCTCAAACATCTTTCTTGATTTTAAACAACCTCCAAAAACCAACTACGAGAAGCTTGCAGGAACTAAAATTTATCAGGAAAATGAAATGCTTACTTTTAACGGATGCTCTGAGCTGGAAGCTGTAGAACATGAGGGGCGTGATGAATGGAGGGATCTAAAGGAAGGGGACACATCGATCAGCTTACAAGTCATCTGTTTGTTTCCCTAAAAGACATATGTCTTATCCTTGGGTCATATTCAGTAGCGAAAAAGATGTTGATAATAAGTGTATAAATTAACATTTTGAGCATTTTCACTGTAAATAGTGCTTGAATGCTTCTATTTAGTGAACTCTGTAGAAGAGGGAAAACAACAGATAAAGAAATTTCCATTGTTGAATTATTCAACATACATACCACAAGAACACTGCTGAATTCCAGAAATGCGTGCATCCACCCATTCAATCATTCCTCATCTATATAGTCACTCCTGCAATCGGTGCATTAATGTGCTGTAATGTGCATTAAGGTACCTGCCATGAAGGATCACCACTGTTTGCCTAATGCTGTTGTTGCATGGATTAATCCTGCGTTTCTCAGGCCAGTAGAGAGCAGGCATGAGCTGCTCTGTATAGACCAAAGTTAGTGCTTCTGTCATAAAAATGGAGTCATAACAATATAAATGTGATATCAGATATAATCAAAGGAAGAAATATATTCAAATAATGAGCTGCTGTAATGTTCCTCTTATCAGTATTGCTTTCACTGGTGCTGGTACTGTAGGCTTTGCAGGTTGTATGAGAGTGACAAACACCCACTGCACTGTAACATAAATATTTTGTTGTAAATGTAAGCTCTAAAAAAAAAAAAAAGATAATTGTTGTGTTTTAAAAGAAATTCACGGTTTCAACGGGATACTTGCCGTATTTTTTCTAATTATTTGTGCATTTTTTTCAGTGCACCCCCAACATTTCTGCATTCTATACTTTCAACTCTATTTTCTTGATCAGAAAATATTTTCTTAATCAGATACTTTGATTATACATCAAATAACATTCTTTGTGCATTTGAAAAACCAATTCAATAACTAAAGCCATAAAAAGTTATTTATACCATAAATATATAATATATAGTATAAATATACTATATATTAGTTTATGCAAATTAAATTATTTTGTATCACATTTATTTGTAATATTATTAGAATATATTTCAATGTTATAATAAAATAAACATCATTATTATAAACCAGTATATCGATATTAATCCGTTAGCATCAACTATTTTTATTCAATAAAATGCAAACACAATATTGTGTTTTTTTTTATTATTTTTATTTATTTATCTGTTTGTTTTTAAATAAATATGGTTCTATATAAATGTCTTTTCGTTTCTTCTGATCATATTACAAGCGTGTCTAATGCTTTCCTCCTCTGTCGTCTTGTAGAAAGCGGTAGACGTAGCAGCAGTTTCTTACTGTAGTACTTTTCTGGTTTTTGGATGAGCCCACGGCTGATGCGCACATCACGTCTACCAATCAACGCGACGCGTTACGACTGCGCGCTGCACTCTCAGCCACTGAGAGCAGTCAATGAATATTTATGGCGAGGCTGCTCACTCTCCAGCGCTCAAAGTTAGTGGATTAGCAGTGGGAGGATGACTGCGTGATACAACATCAGCACCTCGTTTGGATTAAGATCCAGTGTTTGCGCCGATTGCCACTTTGAAATCAGCGGTGTGAACGACAGCGGTGTCAAAATTGCACTCCAGAAGCGGTATCGAGTGCAGACGTGCCCTGCACATCACTTAAGAGACTTTGCTATTTCTTTGCCCCTTTTCTTCTAAGATGCCAAGACTTCCATCAGCATCAACACCCTCAGTCTACAACCGAGAGGGCTGCTCGTTTGGAAGGACGCCCGACCGCAGTCGTTCTCATCTGCAAGTTCAATCCGATCAATTGTGACAAAGGCTGTCAGCGTCGGAATAAGAAATCGATACTCGAGACGTTCTTCTGGAATTTTAACGATCCGTTTTCCTCAAGCGAAGCGCGCGTGGAGAGCGCGGGGTCCTCCTCGCACTTTCAGATGTTCGCGGTGTTTATGGTGACAGATTATTGTTGTTGAGTGTCCATGCGAGACTTGGGGTGGAAAAATGTCTGGCCACTTCTCTGAGAGGGTCGCTGCTATCAGAGATGGCATTTTGGTCCAGCACTTCGGTTTTTACTTCTAAAGTGCCCCGGAAGATCTTATTCATGTTCACCCTGTCCCTTTCTGTCACCTATCTGTTCTATAGCTTGATGAGCTGTTACAACTCCTTCCAGTTCCAGGAGAACTACGTCTATCAGGGGAGGCTCGTGACAGAGGAGACAACTTTTGTTACGCTGAGGGAGAAACTTTACTCGACCTCTTCCCAGGTCTACCTCGACGAGGAGTTCGTCGAGAGGACGGCCACAGAGCAAACCATCGCCGTCTCGAGCGTTAGAAATAGCGTGGGGATCGACGAGAGGACGGCGGGATGGGTGCGAGCTCAGGCGGCTACTACGCGCTCCGCCGCCGCCGCTGCTCCTGGAGAGCCCCCGGAATTCAGCACCACGGACAGCGAGCTTCGGAGAGCGGTGAACTGCACCTCGGATTACGGGGTTAAAAAATTGCCCCAAGCCATTATAATCGGAGTGAAGAAAGGGGGGACCAGAGCTCTGCTGGAAGCTTTGCGGGTTCATCCCGATGTGCGAGCCGTTGGGAATGAGCCGCACTTCTTTGACAGGAACTACGAGAAGGGGCTGGATTGGTACAGGTGCGCCCTTCACGTTTCTCTGTTGTGTTGTTTATGGGTCAGTGACAGATAATGATGTCTGATCACACGATAGCAATCTAGTTTAAAGTTCTTGGAAATGCCATTTCTGTCTTGATTTTACTTCAATATGCTTTTGAAGAAGTTTTAATCCGATTTTTACAAAACAGTTGATTTAATCTCAAGCAAAATGCTTATCTTTGTTATTATTATTATTATTATTTAATTTGCAGACATTTTTACACACACACACAGGTTTGTTTTTATGGTTTATGGGGACTCTCCATAGGCGTAATGGTTTTTATACTGTACAAACCGTATTTTCTATTGTCCTACATCAACCCTACCCCTAAACCTACCCCAAAAAAAACTCATTCTGAATTATTTATAAGCCTTTTGAATTACGGGGACACTGAAAATGTCCTCATAAATCACATTCTCGTTGTAATACCTATGTCATACCAATGTTATTATACAAATGTGTGTCCTCATGAACCACATAAACATGCACACACACACACACACACACACACAGTAGGCCTATGTAAAATAGTCATGAGAATGCAGGAGACCTCTGTTTTATGGTTTTCTTGTCACATGACAACAAAATGGCTTCCTTTATGACAGTGACTGATTTATTTTATTTTTTCATTTAGTTTTATTATATTATTATTTTTATTTGTTAATGTATTTGTATTATTAATCATTTAAAACAAGAAAATAAAAGACAAACAAAATAATAATGAGAGATTATGCCAAACTGCGGATGCAAAAAGTAATAATCAGACATTTAAAAAAAAAAAAAAAACATAAATTTTTGGGTAATTTAATAGATCCGGGCAAAGCCCTTATATCATCAACAAACATCTTGTCATTGACCCATATATCAGGGTTGAGTTCTTTTTCCTTCCTTTACTATAAAAAAGTGCATGCATTCAGAGATTGCAGACATTATTTACAAGGGGACACTGAAAATGTCCTCATAAATCACATTCTCGTTGTAATACCTATGTCATACCAATGTTATTATACAAATGTGTGTCCTCATGAACCACATAAACATGCACACACACACACACACACAAACACAGTAGGCCTATGTAAAATAGTCATGAGAATGCAGGAGACCTCTGTTTTATGGTTTTCTTGTCACATGACAACAAAATGGCTTCCTTTATGACAGTGACTGATTTATTTTATTTTTTCATTTAGTTTTATTATATTATTATTTTTATTTGTTAATGTATTTGTATTATTAATCATTTAAAACAAGAAAATAAAAGACAAACAAAATAATAATGAGAGATTATGCCAAACTGCGGATGCAAAAAGTAATAATCAGACATTTAAAAAAAAAAAAAAACATAAATTTTTGGGTAATTTAATAGATCCGGGCAAAGCCCTTATATCATCAACAAACATCTTGTCATTGACCCATATATCAGGGTTGAGTTCTTTTTCCTTCCTTTACTATAAAAAAGTGCATGCATTCAGAGATTGCAGACATTATTTACAATTACTGTATTTTTCAAAATGGTCTAGTAATTCACATAAATTTTTGGGTAATTTAATAGATCCGGGCAAAGCCCTTATATCATCAACAAACATCTTGTCATTGACCCATATATCAGGGTTGAGTTTGTTGATTTGTTTCCTGTGTTTTTCATAGATTCTGTCCCACAACATCCTCGTGGTTCTGGCCATTATGTTCCCCAACGATTTCACCCCAGAGGCTTTTCCTTCCTTTACTATAAAAAAGTGCATGCATTCAGAGATTGCAGACATTATTTACAATTACTGTATTTTTCAAAATGGTCTAGTAATTCAGAAAAACACGCTTTTAGTACAAAATGTCTTGATGATCAAAGCTTTTGGAGACATCAGATGATTGTACGGCTAAATGACGGATATATACATCCAAGTGTAGTACAATCATAAAACAAGAAATGGTATACATCTTTATTTGACAAAAAAAAATTATATATATTTTTATCAGGTCTACGTATTGCAGTTGAGTATGCTTACACTTAATGTAGACTTGTTCATCTGCTTTTGTTTCCAATTTTACAGTTGAGAGACGCTTTAGTCAGGCAATTAGTCAGTAGACTAATACATATGTGATGATTCAAATGCAGCCGAGCTCCAGGCTGCAGCTGATGCTTTTGTCCAGCTTTAACATAATTACTATAGCAGCATGACTGTTTCATTTCATGCCGAATTCATGTTCACAATCACTGCTCACTAGAGCCAGGTGCAGTGGATGCTCCGTTGAGCGCTTTGACTCCCAGGCGTGCTCAAATCATGAGGAGCTTACTCAGGTGTATGTGCCCCTCAACATGCTTTGACTCATCAGCCTGCGATATTTCCTAGTTTACACTTCTCCACTCTATTTACAATCTGAGCCAGTGCAGGTTATTACAGCCAGGCTGTTTTTCTTTGGATTGCTATTCTACATAAACCAAACATCATTCAGCCAAGTGGTTGCCTATGATGAGGAGATGCTCGTACAAAGAGTGTCTGAGGGGTAGAGAGTGAATGAGCATTAAGTCACACTGCAGCGTGTGCTGGATCTGCTTGTATCTGCTAGCCTTGGGCTGTGACTCAGAGCTTTGGGGCCAGGCAACATCTGCCGCAATTCACTTCAGAGCAAGTCAAACTCGTAACATTCCTTCATTTGCCTGGGTGTTAATGCGAGCTGTTTCATTATGCTCGTTGTGTGGGGCTCATTAGACCGGGGGATGACAAGCTTACATAAATAACACCTAAGAGTGCTTGTGTGTTTTAGTGTCCCTGAGCCTGGAAAATCCCTTAAGCGGCCATAAATTTGTTTCCACATGCGCTTGGAACATGAGTTGTAGCTTGGAGGAATATCAAATATGTAATGGACTACCATACTCACTGAAGGAAACAACATTACAAGTGCAATAACTGTCGGGCTAGATGTGCGATACGTCAAAATGAAGCTAAACAAAAATAAACTGCAAACAAACTGTATTTAATTTTTTTTAAATTTGCTATGACATTAAAATATGGGCCTTGAATTTGATGACATCACAACATACACTCAACATTTGTGTTTTAATATTGACTTTTGAGTCCATAATCTCATCAAATGCTTGCAAACTGATTTGCATTCGCAGAAGTGGCTCATTTCACACTTAGCTGTGGCTGTAAAGCTTAAGCATGCGAAACGTGTAGTTCATTAACTTAAATAATTTGCATAAGTTTATTATTTCATTTATTCGCCCTCATGTCATTTACAAAACCGTATGACTTTCTTTATTCTGTGAAACACAAGAGAAGAAGAAGAGAATGTCTCAGTATTTTGTTTTTGTCTATACACCTGGGGGAAAACAAATACTTTAAAGGAATTTTTTCCTAACCAAAAATATTATTTCACAAATAACTTTAAAGAAATGGCAAGTAACAAATGTAACATTTTGAAGATGAAATGCTGAAATATACTCTGACAATTTTATTTACCACTTCAGAAATTGCTAATTTATAGTGTACATTTAAAATCAATGGTGATTTCATTCCAAGGACAAAATATTTCTTCAAAATATATTCTTTTATGTTCCACAGAAGAAAGAAAGTCGTACAGGTTAGGATTGTCATACAGGTTGATTTATTATTTATATAGGTGGTTTATATATATTTAATATTCATATGAAGACAACTCGGTTTACAAATATTCTGGATGCAAAGATGCATAGACAAGCCGGTTTTACATTTTAAAGCCATCATGAATAAATATCCAGCGGTAAAGGCTTTCTGGACTTCATTTGCTGGGCATATGTATCAGGAGAAGTTAGGTAATCTTGTCAGTCTTGAAATATGATGGTGCTCCTCCTTTACAGCCTGACGCAATGTTTAAAAGGCTTGTCAGGGAGGACCGGATGCTCTGTTAAACTCCTGTCTGCTTTTAAAAGAAGCCTCACTTTCACTGAGTGGGTAATATGTTCCCTATGTCAAATAATAATAGCTCGGCGTCATTAGACGAATCGCACCACTGTTGGGGTCCACTTTTAGATTAAAGGAGTGCAGGAAGGTAAAAACGAGAGTGTTAAAGCTGAAGTGTGTAATTTTTTGCAGTGTTAAAAGACTCGTATCCCAGCTTAATATGCAGAGACAAGCCATCTGTAGGGCAAAACTTTGCTCTTTTTCAGCATCCCAACTCTCGAGTAGTGCCGGGTGATAATAGTTTACGTTTTGCAATGATACAAGCAGTCAGATATAATGTATGTTCCAGTATATGGTTACTATGTGGTATTGCCAAAAAAATAAAAATCTAACAGGACATTTGCAGCATTTTACAGGCTTCTCGGATCTGTTATTTATTCATTCTATTCAATAGTCCCCCACACAATATTCAGCGCTGGAGATCCTTCGGCTATTTGACCTCAGGAGAGTTTTTCCATCTTTATGTCTGGTCGTGAGCCTGCAAAAAAGGTGGCCTTTCAATAGATAGCAAAGAATCAGCATTGCCTACACCAAGGTATCTTCTTTTTGTTGGAGATAAAATGCATTCTGATCAATGAGAGCTATACACTACTGAAGCCCACGCATTGTTCTTGCCCCATACAAGGTTACACAATGAAGCGCTCTAATTCCACCACCTATTTATTCCCCGGTGCTTATTGTTTCCTGCTGGAGAGTAGAACTTCAGAAATCCCCCATTCCTCACAACTTCTGTAGTTTAAAACAATATTGAGAGTTAAAGGCAAGTTAAGCTCGATCAGCAGCATCTTGCATGCTTGCCCCATAGACTTCCACTGTATGTGCAAAGCTGTTCAAACTGAGAGATGGATAGAAATTACAGTATTGTGTTAGTGGTCATCACTAACATGCCAAAAGATACTATTTGTAGATATTTCCTTATGTTGAATTATTCCTAAAAAGAGAGTAATTTACTCTCTACCCTCTAATTTACTCACCCTCATATCGTTCCAAGACAATGTTATTTTAGTATTATTGAGATACTATTTTATTGTAGTTTTATTCATATTTTAAATTTGTTTTTATGTTTATATCATGTTTTCATTTTAATTTTAC